GTCTTTTCTCATTCACCATTATTGATTTTTCTTTTCTATGATATTAATCTTGTCTTTCCTATTGCTGTTCTTCTCTTCTAAGTAGTTTTATCGTCATTAGTTAAATCTTTAGAGTTACCTCATTTTTTTTCGCTTTTTCGACATAACAATATCCAATAAGAATATTTGGTTATATGATATGTAAGATTTGTGTGTTTCCGTCGCAGACCGCAATTTGTTGTCGTTACTTTCCCAGATCTATGACTCTTATTCAACCGAAAATGTTTGCTCACATTCATTGATCAGTCTTAAATGATTAATCATGGTTACAGAGACGTTACATGTTAACATAATCATTTCTCTATATGATCCTCTATCTTTTTATATCTTCATTTGTTGTTCACTCCTTACATAAAAATGTTCGTGCATATACATGCAATACAATAATATCATATAATAAGACATTGACATTGACAGAGCCTCTGATGAAGTGAGATGCCTACAGATTTCATATAAAAGGTTCGCAACAGAGGTACTTAAACTTTTCAGTCTTCGAGAAAAGAGTTCGGTGTGGGTGTTAAGTGACATTTGAGATTATACACAAATGTTGGTCTTCTTTTTTTTGCATTTACACGCAAATTCACACTCTTTCCGATAAAATCTCAAGAAACAAGATGTTAGTTGATGACTTTTTTCCTTTCTGCTCAATTAAATATCATGGTTTATTTGTCAAAGTACTTCTGCATGAGCATGAACGTTCGATGTTATGATTATCCGATAGAAGACAATAAAAAAAAGCTTAAGGGCTCCCCTCAAAAAATGTCAAATTTCGTCAAAAAAACGAAGCTGGAGATAAACTCATAGCTGAATACTATGTGGTCTGAACATTAAGAATCAGCATGATTTTGAGGTTTGGTCCTTCGAAAAAATGGACTTTCGCAAAAAGTGTACTGTCGTCACAATATACCTTTTTTTTTCCAAAAATTGAATTTTTTTTTAAAAAAGAGGATTTTGTAGGAAAAAGTCTTTTTTCCATCAAAAAAATTTTTTTTGAGCGTAAAAGATGACTAGATGGTTTAGTTTATGTTATTCCGATTATATGATTATGGACTAGTTGGTTATTTTGTACCAACTTCTGGCAATGTTTTCATCTTTCAGAAAACTATTCCAATAATTGATGTAAAAGTTGTAAAAAAATTTATATTACCCGAAACTTCAGATGTTCCTTGTAAATAAGCTTCTTTTAAACAGATAAAAATATAGTAATGAGAAAAGGCTTTATTAGAAAAAGGCGTTTTTATCATACATACAAATAGTAATAAAACATAAGGTGTTTATATATATATACACAAAAGAAAAACTGAAAACTATCGACTTGAAAATTTAATTTTCTTCGTCCCAGTCTGTCGATTTTCCCCTTTTTGGATTATAATAAAGATTTTTCTCATTTTGTCAAGGTGATATAGATGCAAAATTAAAAAAATTTTCTTAATATTTTCATTATGCAAAATACGGCAGGAACTAACACATCATGTATGTTTTTTTTCATTTTGAGTATGGAAGAGACTCTCGGAACAAGTCAAGAGGGATTTATTTCTACAGGTTTTGTAAAGCTTTTCACGGTGAGTATTCTAAAAAAAAAGGCTTTATCATTTGTCTGTGCAAAGATATTCACAAAATACAACATTTTTTCGGAATATCTGGCATTTCAAAACTTTGTTTCATGTTTTTCTCAAAATGTAGGTTTGACAACGTATTTGCAAGAAAACCCGACCATAGTACTATATGAAGTCAAATATTTGTTTTTCTTTGAAAGAGCGTTAAAAACTGCAGGTCCTGTGAGGCTCGGTTTTCTGAATGCAGCTTTGTTATTATTATATTGAAAAGCATTTTTTATAATTAGAGCGCCATTTTTTGAGAGTTTTTCGAGTGAATGAACTTGTCGACCCTTTTCTCTGCTTGATAGATAAGAGTTTTAAAACAAGGAGCCTCACAGGACCTGCATCTTGAGATGCTCTTTCAAACAAAAGAAAAATATCTATATATTTGATGAAGGCCTGCACAGAGAAATCTTGCGGACAAAATGAGCAATTTTTGACTCTTGTTTGGTTCATATGTCTGTTAAACGTCAGGGTATCGAGTTGAAAATTTTACCACAGCATCCTCACTTCAGTCCCAACATATGCTCCAAATTTCAGCCTATTTGAACGTACCTGGGCTGAGATCGATTTTTGATGGGGGGGGGGGGGAGCCTTAAACGATGGGGCAAAGCAACGCAAATTAGTCAAACTAAGAATAAATGCTTGCCAATGAAAGAAAACAGGATTAATTATGAAGCAGAAATGAAACGATCGATGAGATCGAAGACTGCACGTGGTTGGTCGCAGGGAATCGAATGACCAGCGTTACGAATCCAAGCCAAAAAGAAAGAATTCGCTCGTTTTAGATAACCAGCTACTTCTTGATCGTCTTCTTTCACTTTCCAAATAACGCGTTCAGCAGCACGCAACTGGTTCGCATAATTCCATTCGAGTTTATCAACCCAATTCATTGTTACCGAAGAGAAAATAATAACATCAAGTAATCCACTGTAAATCAATACTTTATAGTTACTATTGGCAATCAACGCTACTTTACTTGCAATTGATTGCATTGCATCATCTTGAAGAGCGATTTGTACTTTTTCACCATCATTATACGTCATATTACCCACATGAATTTGACGACGATGTTCACTTGCCATCACCCAAGGAATATAATAGAAAAGTTCTTCAGGAAAATCAGTGCGAAGATAATTTTCAGCATCAATCATACCGGTCATATTCGAATAGATATTGTCGAAAAGATCACCAAAAATAGAGTAAGCTTGTCGATATTGGCCTTCCCAAATGGCTTCACGTGCTAGTGACGTCAATAAATTGATATATTCCAGTTGTCGTTGATCAATCAAACCCATTTGATACATCGCTGGTCCATAATCCCCTTGATTATAAGGATCAACCAAACCATCACCGATGGCCATTCCTTTCAGATTAATTTTCAGTTTTGCTTGAGGATTTTCTCTATGAATTTTATAAACAATGGCTGGTACATATTCGCCACCATAAGACTCGCCGGTAGCATAGAAATCACACATGGCATATTCGTAATAGATTTGAAAAAATTGGATGAGCATCACATAAAGATCACGTGCTACTTCATCTTCAGTGTGCACGTAACATCGATCGTCGGCTGTAAAACTAAAACCAGTGCCGACTGGTTGATCAATAAAGAGAAGATGATATTTAGAATTCCACGTGACATTACTCGAATAAAGTTGCTCATCTTTGTCTACGCGAATCGGACCATGTTCGGAGAAAAGACCAAAGAGAGATGATGCATCAGGTCCACCTTATAGCCAAATCAGTAGCGGTGAATCAATATGACCATTTTGAGCAGGAAAAAACCAAAAAAAGAGGCTACTATTACATGTTTTATTGACTGTTAAATAGCCAGAATAAGACGGGTAAGAATATGCTGGTTGTAAATGCACTTGACTCAAATTACGAGCTATAGATCGATTTGACCTGTTTCTAAATAAGGTGTAAGAAAGAGCGGCTCGCAGGGATCATCATCTAGTCGAAGCGGTGCTCGAGGAATACTGGCAAGTTGGCGACGAAGTAGATTAAATGCTTCAACACAGATTGATACATAAAACAGAAGTAGAACAATAACAGAGAGTAAATTTAGGGAGCGGAACATGATTTTTGTGGGTGTCAAACAAGGTGTGCTAATGTGTATGCACGAATTCGTGTTGCTCTCTTATCAAAAAATGTTGAAGAAAAGAAGAAAAAAAATTGTTCGTAATCAGCATATTTGCATAGACGTTTGCTCTATAACCAAACCAAGCTAGGTAAACTTTCAAGGANTTTCTACAGTTTCAGTCATTGTTCCATTGTGAATGCTGCCATATTGTAAACAACCATATATTATCTCTACAATACAGAAGACGGTATTGAATATTGGTGCATGGAGATCAATTTTCTCTTACGCCAAAAATTCGATGAATGTTGATCGAATCTTTCTTGTTTCATGTCATGAAGTTTTAAAAGTTTAAGGTGTATATAATTTAAAACAGATGTCAATTTAATTTTCTCTATGTATAGAGAAAATTAAAGTTTATCTGCAGATAAACAATGTGAAAATCTTGATTGTTCATTATTATCTGATGATTGTAAACATGGACATGATAAATCATTATGTACAAAATATTCAAATGTTTCTAATAAATGTCCTAAATTTTGTGGTTTATATCCTCGATATGATGAAATGAAAAAATATTATGATTCACTCGAGATATTGTCAAATATTGGAATTCAAACGATCAAAAACACTCAATCTGTTTTATCATTCGGAAATATTTCTTTTCATTTAGTTTTTATTCAATTAATGATAGTACGTTTCGTACTGTCGTTGATTAAATAATAAAATACATGTATATACATAAAAAGAAAAAAAAACGTCAAAACAAATGTCACTCGGTTTAGTCATCATCGTCTACTCCAGACGCTCCTTCTCGATGTCGTAAACGATAGATTGATGTTAACATACGAAGCATAAACGTAGCTGGAACTGTTATTGTACTTGATGTTTCTTCAATCATTGCATAATTACGTTTTACAGTACGTTCGATACGATCACTATCATCAATAGGTGTTTCAGCCAAAGGTGAAAATATTTTTATATTACTAAAAAACAAAAAGAAAGAAAAAGTAGCTTAAACATATACTATCTTCGACGCAAGGGTACGAATTCCTTTCAGAGTATTCATGCTTATTTGAATCTACATAAACCCACACAGTCTCGACTCAAAAGTGATTCGACAAACGGATGGCTTCCCTCGTCAGCTTTAGCAGTTCTATGCTATCACACAATAATATACATTTAGCAGTTTCCTTAAAACGAAAGTAATAAATAATTTTCTTTTTTCTGACTACATTTAAAAAAAACTTACTAATCAATTCCACTTGATGCTAAAATTGGATAATTCAGTGGATGAGGCTGTACACAATTAACAACATGTTCATCAGCTTGTATAACTCGTATAATATTTCCATTAAATTTATTCCAAATAAAAATATGTCTATTAGAAAAAAATTCTTTCACAATAATCATTAACTTTAAAAAAAAATTTTTTTTACCCGCAATCGGAACCTGACATAACATAACTATCCGACCAAAAATTAGCTTCTTTTATCATAGTACGTGTATTACGATGACCGTCATAAGAATTAATTAAACCTAAACTAGGAATACTTTTAAGAAGATTTTCTTCATGAACACGTTCAACTTCACGACGTTTTCTCATACGGTCCCATTTTGTACTCAGAAATCTATGATGTGTATGTTCTGATGAATGAACATTATCTGTTGTTACTGATGATGTTCGAGAATCTTCCTAAATAATTGATTAGATGATTAACTGAAAATAAAAAATAAAAAAACTCACATCGTCATCATCATCATCCATATGGTTCACATCATTATCATCGTCATTATCATCTTCTTCCTCTGTATGAAATCTTGGACTTCCACCAAATATAAGATCAAATATTCCAATACGCTAATAGAAAGCAAAACAAATATAAACTAAATGGAATATTTTTTGTATAAAACCTCACGTTAGATTCATGATCATCTTCATCATCATTATTCGTTGTTGTTGAATTTTGAACAGGTGTAGGTGATGGTGATGATTGTACCATAGGACTATTCGTTGTTGGAGATGATGCAATATTATTATTACTATCATTATTATTATCATTATCATTAGTTTCATTTGTTTGTGTATTATTTGGAGTTGTTGTTGTTTCTGTTTCTTGATTTGTTTGTTCAGTTTCTGATGTGGTACGTGTTACTAATTGTGTTAAAATATCACTCATACGTCGCATAAAAAAGTTTTGTAAATCACGACCAGGTGTGGTTGTTGTCGTTGACTGTTGTTCATTTGATGATTCTGACTGATTAGTTGTTGGTTCTATTTGTTCTTCTTCCTGAATTGGTCGAGAATCTGGACCTAAAACATCAAAAGATACATATATACATTGATAGAAAGTTTTTTATTGAAAGTATACCAGTATCACTCCAATCACCTCGAAGACGTAATCGTTTTATAGGAGAAGTTTTATTTTCATCTTCTTGTATATTATTTGGTGTTGGTTTGGTTTCATTTATATTTATTTTTGATTGTTTTTTATTTCGATGTTCGATAAGACGTTCTTTCATTTGTTCTTGTGTTATTAATTGTTTTGGATTAAGTAAGTAAACTGAATCAGATGAATAAGATGCTAAAATTTCTGTACCATGTTGATTAAATACAACAGATGTTATACGAGATCGACGTTGTTCTTTTCTATCAGAAAGCATAAAATATGATACAAGACCATTTATTGATGATTCATATTGACGAGGTGATGATAACTGAGTAGAAAGTTTTCGATGATCATATAGACGAATTGACTAAAATGAAAGATTAAGATTGAAAAAGTAACAATTTCTATATTCTATTTTATATTATAAACATGATGAATAACGGCTAGCCCATAAAGAATTATATTGATAGCATTTTTCGAATTTTCTCCTATATTAATCCTCTCGTTTGAAATACTTTTTCTGTGTCAAAAGATATTGCTTGATATTCTGCACAAAATATTATAATTTATTTAACAAAACGCAGTTTTCTCCATTTTTTCTGAATTAAACGTAATCGTACAATAAAATCAAGCACAAAATATAATTTTTTTTCTTTTTAAATATTTTTTTTTGATAGAGCATTGTTTTCGTCTATCAATGTTGCTTTTGTTATTATATGATCCTAGTTCATAACTACAGGCAGTTCATTCCATAAAATAACTGCAATGCTCAGAACGACGGGATGTGAACTGTGAACAGGAAAGAGAGCCTGTCAGAAACGCACTGTTCATGTACATAAGAATTTCCGATAAGGGTAATGGTATGGTTAGATGTAGCGAACAAGGACTGAAAGTGCCGATGACTTTGAAAGGTGGAATAATGGATGCAGAAAGATACATCAATGACGTTCTTCTAGTAGCTCTAAAATCCGGCAACAAAATGTTAGGAAACACCTGGACATATCAGCAAGACGGTGCAAAACCTCACACGCGTCATCTGAACCAAAGTTGGTGTGCTAATCATTTTCTTGCATTCATATCACATAATCTTTGGCTACGAAGTTCGTCTGGCTTACGTCCACTAGATTAGAGTGTATGGAATGAACTGGCTAAAACTATGAATGGAGATTACATAAGAATAAAGGGTACATTGTTAGACGAACTAATATGCTGTGCTAAGAAATTTGACAAAGAAAAAGTCTTATATTCTGTATTTTATTTTATTGTACGCTATTTTTTGATAAAAAAAAAGCGTTTCAATCAAGAGAATAATAGAGGAGCAAGTTCAAAAATACTAACAGTATGATGCTTTATGACCTCAAGTATAGCGACTTGGGAATTCCGTTGTTCGTTAATGGCTTGGTTATGCCGACTGTTAAATCAAGAAATTTTTTTTTTGTTAGAAAAAGTTATTTCTGAACTACAAACTTTGTACGAGACATATTTGTTCAGAATGAACCTGATGAGAACTACACGAACGGATCAATTTGGAATGAAAATACATCAAAAACTCTACTGAAATCAGCTTTGGCAAATTTTGTTAGATCTGTCCTTTAATTAAAAATATTTGAAAATAGGAAACATTTGTAAAATATACTCTTTTCCAACAAATATCAATTTGCAAGAACATCAGTCACCATCTTCAGAATTAATGAATTAACTGAATTCATTTTGCGTTATTTTCTCGAAACATTTCCAATCACAGATATCTAGTAGAGAAAAACTTTTAAAAAACATGCTTTTATCGTTGGAAAATGGTTATGTAGAAAGAAGGACTAACTTATTCAGTCTTCTTTTAGAAAAAACTATATTTTGATATAAAAACCACGAGTAAATTTTACTTTCGACACATCATTGAAAAGAGCACTCTTAACGCTACAAAAATCAGCATTAAATGTATTTTTTTATTTTCCTTGTCATTTAAAAAAAATGTCTTGTCCAATAGTGAAGTTGCGAAGACTTTTTTTTAGAGATTTTTAGTTTCTAATAAAAGAGTTTTCTTGATTTAGAAGTCGAAAATATCGTATAACACAGTTTGATATTTTTCTAAAGATTTTTGCATCGCACATTATGTAAGAGCTATGCCAAATACTGTCAAAATTCATCTTTATGATTGTACTAATGACTGTAGTCAATAGAAATCTCTCTAATCAATATCTAAATTGCATACATATTGCCAAAAATTCTATTGGCGAACTTTCGGTAGCCTAGTAAAGTTCACTGGTTATTTTAGGTAAGATTTGTTCATCAATGATAAAAACTTTATTTGTTTTTTTTCTATTATTCACGATCTTCCTAGATATAAGGATACATTATTGATTAGATCAATCATAATGATCATTTTAGCATAACGTACTGCAATGAAGTCCATGTGAATAGAACTTATCAGTTATGCCATTAAAAATAATTCATAAAACCTATGATACGAAGTTTTTAGCATAAAATATTCGCTCATTTTTCGACTACTAAAAAGCAACTGTTTAAAGTTAGTCAGAAACAGACTTTTCTGCTCTTTCTGACTATATGTTCAGATTTTTCTTCTGGACTAAAATTGAATAACTATCAATAAATCGAAAGCTGTCTTGGCGCAGTTCTTAGTTTGTGTGTGGGAACAGCTTCAGCTCAACATTATTGTAGAGCACTAAATTCTATACAATATTTGTTATTGTAATAAGCGGAATTTCTTTCCACCAAAGAGCTAGGTTTTACAGAAATCGACAATCGCTGTTTTAAAAATTCCTTTTCAAAATACAAAAGTTTAAAAACGTGTGACACTAAAGTCAATAGCACGCTTTGTAGAGCAAACTTCGTTCGACAAAAATGAGTCATTAAAAAAGTATTTCGCATTTTGAAGTTGATGGATCTCAATTGAAAAACAAAACTACTTAAAATGTGGCATGAACCAAAAGTAGCTTTACCAAAGAAGAATTTCAATATCTTCGCCATCTTTGAACTAAACTAGAGAAATAATGTTTTCTTCTTATCCACAATAGATAATATTTTTTTTTCTATTGTGGCCAAAGGTAGTATTTTAAAACAGATCTTTTAAATGTTTTCATATGAAAATGATGCATGAACACTGCTCTGTCAGCGGTAAAAAGTAGGTCATTTGATCCATACATTTGGAAAGAGTGAATATTTTGTGCCAAGACTTTCGCATTTCTGTTTTCGTACAGACCACGATCAATCTTTTCTTTTCATTTCTTATCAATAATTAATTTCATAATATTTTATATATTAGTTAGAAAAAGGATTAAATATAATATCTTCTGCTTTTAACTTACGGAATCCGCACAAGCACAAACAATTTCATTTGAATTCATTGGATTAATATCCATTGATGTAATACCCCAATTACTTTTTATTAGTATATCATCATTACAATGATCTTTTAAACAATTACTTTTTGTTCTTAAATCATATAATCGTATAGTACAATCATCTAAATTAAATATTAAGAAAATAAGTTTTATTGGTAAAATACCGATTTTTTTTTCATAACATACCAGCACATGATAGAAATAAATTCGGTGTATGTGGAATAGTTCTTACTTCATATGTAGTTGTTGATCCATGACAAGTAAAACATCCTTCAACTGAATGTGAAGTACTTGGTCGATCAAAATTAGTATGAAATACAACACCATCACCTGAACATGAAACAACTCGTCGATCGTTTGTTTCAGGTAAAAATTTTGCTGAAAAAATATTTTCTCTATGTCCACTATGAACTTTAGTTAATACTTGTCTTGTAAATGGATCTGTTACAATTAAATTTTGATCATCTGAACCAGATAATATTGTTGTACCAAGTTCATTCCACCATATTGTATTTACACAACCTCGGTGAACATTTAGTGTATACTCAAGGTTCAATCGTCTTGTTATTGATGATGAATTTTTTAATTTAACTAGAAGACGTCGATGAGAAAGAAGACCGTATTGACGATCAGATAAATATGACATCTGAAAGAAAAACAAATAAACTGATGAAGAAAACCGGAAATCATTAGACTGAAAATTTGTGTTTGAGATTTAGCGAGCAATTATCTGTAAATTTTTTCCGATCGTTAAATATGAAAATGTATTTTGCTTAAGCTCTTCGTACGTAGAACTAAATCAATTTATTCTCATTTACCAATAAGAAATGTTTATTTGAAAATATTTTTGAATAGGACTAACCACTAGTCTAAATTTATAGCAGAAAAAAACACATTGATTGCACAATTGACGGCTGGTGTCAAAGATAAAATATACTTGATAAATTACTAGAACTTATTATTATTAAACATAACAGCTGTCACTAAATATATCACAAAGAAAAGATAGTCAATCCAATGAGTATCAGACTAAACGTAAGTAATTTACTCAAAACAATACACAATTCAAGACGTAGAGATTTCCAGTATATGACAAATGTTCGATAGTCAATATACTGATTATTAGTTCACAAGCTATATAGATTTTAATAAATAAGTTATACATTGAATATTTCGTAATTCTAATGCTTTATTTCCATGGTTAGCCTAAAAGTAAAAATTGAGGATTCTTTCATTAGTAAAATCATTCAATTTACTGTATCATACCAATTAAAATAAATGTTAGATTATATTTTCTATGTTTTTTTTTAAATAATGAGTTTTATTGAAAACTACACTTGGACACGTGCAAATTTCAGTAATATAATCCTAACTTCTACAAGCAAAATATCAGTTCTCAGAACAATGCAATAATAATTTGACTGAACTTTAAAAAATGTTCGTAATGATTTCAATTTTGAATTTTTGCTTTAAATGAATTGCGAAAGAATTAAGTTTCGATTTTGTATTTTCATTATAGCATAGTCTGAGTATTGATGTAATGATCAAATGAAAGTACTTACTTTTGAAATGGATTCGATAACAATGATGAACAAATGTAAAATATATTTCGTTATAATATGAACTATATGAATCAAGAACAGTAAAGTCAGTACGGAAGTCGATAGAGTTCAATGATTCATTGAATCAATATAAAACGTGTACTTGAGAGGGCGCTGGGAGCACAGCATTTTTTCAGAACGTTTACGTACTGATTCATTGAAGTTGTCAATAAACATGTGATTAGTTTTTAAAAAAACAATTGAAAAGACAATTAACTAGCTTATCAATGAAGTTAAATAACTATTAGTTTTGTTTCCAGTGTATTTCTTGACACTTGTATAAAACTAATTTGAAAAGACACATCTTAAGTAGAATTAAAGTTGCAACAAGGATACTGTCAGCTACCGATCCTAATTGATAGTGCACTTTGAACCAGAGATGGACACGGTTCGGTTTGTGAGCCGAATCGAGCCCATTGAAAAACAGTTTTTCAATGCATTTCTCAGCTTATTTTGAATTTCAGTTCGGTTCGGTTCATTTTTCGAAAAACCCGAACCGTGCCCATCTCTAGTGTGGGTGTGTTTTAGATAAATAAGCGAATTGTCAATGTGGTGGAGTAAATGACAGTAGAACAATTTTTTCAATAAGAGAAGAATTATATAAAGAGTGTATACTGAGTTCTGATTCCTTTTTCCAATAAATTATTGGCAATAGGGGTCAGCATTTAGTATACACCCTTTATATTAGTAAATAAATAAGTGCTAAATGAATAACTTTTTTAGAAGTATGAAAAAAGAGCAATAGATAATGTTTTTAGTTTAGTTTTTGTTTTATTTGACTTTTTTTGTTTAAGTTTTAAATGATTTAGTTTTGTGAAGTTGTTTGAGCAGAAAAAATAAGCTACTTTTTAAGTAAATCTGAGACACAATAATCAATTTTTGAGCAGATTTAAGAAAAAATAGAAAGAATCAACAAGTTTAGACTTTGTTTAGATAAAAATTGAGAGGAAAATCTGAGGTTTTATTGAGATACGGAAAAATAAATGAAAATAATGTTTTTGTTTATTTTCGGAAAAAATTAATTCAAGAAAACTTCTAATTTTATGTGTTAGGAAAACATGTTGAAGTATATGCCATTTCTAGATAAGGGTGTGGATGTGGGTGTTTTGGTGGGATCGAAGCCACCACAACGCGTTTCGACTATTTCTTAGAGGGTCCCATCAAGTGGCTTAAGATTTTCAAAATGGATTCAATTTTAAAGAAAAATTTTGCAAGAATCAATTAAAGACAAATTTAGTCTGTTCTATTTCATGAACAGATCGCATGGTAAATGAAAACCTAAATAGAAATGATTGTGATCGAAGCAATGGTGCAGATATGTGGGTGTGGGTGTACGTAAATCAATTGAAAGCAGATCAATCAATATGTCTATCATACAAATCTATCTGATAGTCTAAATCCTTGCTTTTCAACAATCTATTAAGTCGAAATAGTTTGTATTGTAGATGACGTGCTAAATAAAATAAATACTTCTTAGAATAAATCCAGAGTCTAATTGCGCCGACGCATTTCGTGTTATATATCGAAATATTAAAACACTTTTCAGGGCTCCGCATTTACAATTTTTCGGAAAAAGCTTGTTAGCGCAGCCCCATTGGGACTGAAATGTGGAACTCACATATACTATCTACGCTCATTAAACTAATACAAAAAACATGAAGTGAAAAATCTCTCGTAGATTATAATTCTTTAGCAGGAAAAATCAATCACTGAAATAAGAACCTTTCTAATTTCTGCATTTCGAAGAGAATTTTTTTATTTCTTTTTATGGGCGTCCGATTTTTTGTTTTCATTGTTGCTATCCACTCATTATTTTTCTTTTTTTATTTAAATTCGTTTTTCTTAATTTATCATTCTTATTATTATGATCATTGAAATAATTGACAAATAAGTCTGTTTTACATATTCATGATGTCTACAGCAGATCTTAGGCACTATCAAATATATTAATCAACTTGCTAATAATGATTTTCATTATTTTTCAAAATTATAACTTGATTATTTTCGAAAAAAAAACTCTTGAAAATCTGACACCTATTATTATCGATTACTAAGGTCTGTAATGGGGAAGGGAAGAAGCCGCGAAAACTTGACCTTAAAAACTTACACTCACTATATTCTTCGAAAATATATGTGACTTCCACAAAAGCAAAAATTAGAACATGAAAGCAAAGTCAGCACGAATGCCGCATAAAATAATAATAAAAATTGAAGTAAAAACAGAACAAAACGGAGGGGGCGTCAAAACTTTTCTAATAATTATATGTTCAAATACGCGGATCGTTTATACGTGAAATCGGGTTTCAATTTGAAAACTATCTTGAGGATATGGATGTCGGTGCCGATCTTCTCCTCATACCCACACCCTAAAGAATTGAGAGATGGAGAAATTAGTCTTCTCGAAAGTTATTTCTATTAGAATCAGTTTTATGACGTATCATATTCGACTGTTGATGATTGGTCATTAATAAAGCATCTTCTCATACAACTTAACATTCATCATTACAAGACGTTCCATGGATATTATTTCTCAAATTTGCATACGATCTAAAGTCATGTTATGAATCAATATTTAGCATTAGCTTGTTGTGGATTTTACTGCTGATCTATCCTCTTCGGCCAACGCTCACACCTTCATTGTTTACTCAATATTAGATAAATATGTATATGCGTATATACTTTCGCTGACCGACATTTTCTAAATAAGAAACAATGACAAGCGGCAGGAAAGGCAGACAAAAAGAATCAGATATCTAAAATAATTTGAATGATCATAGCTTGATGTTTTTCTGTTTCTCAACAAATCTTCTTTACGAGACGTTTACTCGATTACTTGCTCTATGGATTGGTGAAATCTGTTTTATAAAATCTTACTGGAGTGAGTATATTCACAATTATCAACATAAAAGAGTAGCAGTTTCAGAATCAAGTACCTCGAAAAAGAAACCAAAGTGCTCAAACTATTGACGAATATTAAAAGAACAGCTGTAGATGAAAATAGATTAGTTTTGTACTAGACATTGTACACTCAGATCTTCAAACATAAATTATCGAACCTAAAAAGGAATAAGATGTTCATTTATGATATTTAAAGATCAACTGAAGTTTTTAATAGTTTTATTTTTCTTTTATTTGTTTATTATTAATGTTAGCAAAAAAGTCGATGTCTAGTTCCTTCATAGAGTGATTTTATTCGCGTTTTATTTTTCTAACTACGTTAGTTGCTTTGTTTTTTTGTTCACCTTTCAAAAAGTTAATCTCATAAGCTTCAGGACGTCCAGGAAAATTAATATCAATAGTCGACGGTCCTTGTCCAGATCTATATAATCGAAATGCGTTCTCAATCGAATTCTGCACCAATGATTCATAACATTTCCAATTATTTTGTTCGTTATGGTAAAACCAATTTTGATTATCGGGTGGCTTTTCTATTGGCCGACGATCGATCACTCGCGTATATGATGTGTTCGTATTCATTTGTTTATTATTTTGATAATCAATTCTGTACGTTTGAGGAACATCATCTAAATAACGAGTCAGTGGTGATGTCACAACTGTTGATGGTCCTCCATGAAACTTGTATTGTTGATAAAATTGTTCGAGCACTTCATTAATAGCATCATTATAGGGTTCGAATTGACCATTGTCTTGACGCCAATACCATCGGAAAGGGGCAACGTAGGAGGAATCATCATCATCATCTGAAGGGCAATCAGATATCGGATGTGTAAAAGGTAATGTCTGTCTAGCAGAATTTGGTCCGTAAGTAACTAAAAGTACTGGCAAATTGAAAGCATACTTCCAATCTGTCGGATTGTCAACAACATAACAAAAAGTTCCATGTGTTGAGGTTTGTGGGCCTCGAAGAAGAAAGGCAATGATCATTTGACTAAAGTATTGTTGAGCTCCATCCTTCTGAGAATATCCATGAGATACTGCGGCTGATACTCCAAAATATTCACCCCGTCCATATGCTTGACCTGAACGACGTTTAGGATCGAAGCCATTTTCACAGATGGGCCCAAGTGCTTTGTATCCTGTACCATGATAAGCAAAAAACCCTTTTGCCAGATCGGGTGGAAGAGATTGACCTAACATTTTAACACCCTTATAGAATCGTCTTGAAGATTTATACCCTTTTTCTAAGTATGGATTTTCGTCGATTCGACCAACAGGTTGCATTTGAGGATCCGTTGGCCAATTCTCTAGGACGAATCTTTTAGCTGCTTCAAAAAGTTGAGGTAAGAATTCTTGACGCCGCTTCTTTTCCTCAACAAGTTGAACACAAGTTCGTCCTGCATGAAGTTCGTCATCAATGACTTGACATTTAGGACAGACATTTCGGCCACAAGTTAAACAAGCTTGATAGTTACAATTAAATTGAATTAAACCATCACACTCATCATTGGGACAAAATACACGATCATCTTGTTTTGCGTTTATTTTTAAAAAATTCTGAATGGAACTTTTGAGTAGTTGCATCAATAATTGTTCATCATTACAGAAAATGATCTGAATATCACGAATATGAATCTTCGATTTACACTCTTTGCATTCCAGATGCAATTTAAAAGATGTACTGAGAGCTTGTGCAGCACATCGGCAATAGTTATGACCACAAATACGAAAGATATTTGTAGACATTGATGATTTTTGTTTGCAAAAGACGCATCGGCGGTGCTGTCGCACTGCTTCAATATTTGTTATATCCATTTCTTCTACATCTTCTTCTTCTTCGTCGTCGTCTTCTTCTTCTTCCTCACTTTCTTCATCTTCAGTTTTAACAGTTATCTCATCTAGAAGTTGAATGATTTCTTTTTCGCAATCATTCATATCTTTCAATGAGACGTTTGGTTTACCCATGTTAATAATTGTCGATGTTTTCGGAATAAAAGATACTAAGCATTTTTTCGATGACCATTGTGAAGCAATCTTTTGTAATTTGATTGATGCTGCTTTTTGTCGACCAAAAAATGCAGCTACTATCGTACTTAGTTGGTATTCACGAAAACGTTGATTAAATTCGTCGGAATAATCAGCAATTTGTCGCATTAATTGACCTTGTGCTATTTGTGGTCCTCGAATTTCAATATTTGTATTATATTTGTTTTTGTTAATGACTAATGCTAACTCAGATGCCCATTTTTGTATTACACCAACTTCTTCTAGTTCATTGAACAATTGTTTTTGTCGATCTGTAGTGAGTTTGATGTTCATCGGAGCACAGGTTTGAGCTAGCATCGAAGCAGCTAAACTTGTTTTCTGGGGAGTTCCATGATTGAATATACAACGTTTGCCGAAGTTTGGAATGCTTTTGCATGTGATTTTGACACCGAATTTATTACAAATACTATCAACAATTCTTTGAAAGTCAGGATATAGGTCAGCTCGAAGAACAGTTACTGTGGCTGAACTATCAACTGTCCATTCGGATGGATTGATAGGATTAGAAATGGTGGTTGCCATTGTGAGATTTTCAGTCGTTGTTGTTTGTGAAGAAAATATGTGCAAGGCAACTTCACGACTAGTAACGATGATGCGAAAACGATTTTTAGGAAGATTACGCGTAGGATTAGCATCGTCGTCTTTTGACACTGTTGTTTGAATAAACTTTTGCCTAGGTCCCTTCTTTCCTGGAATCGTTATTGGAAAAGAGTTCTGACACAATGCAACATCATAAATAACTGCAGCCTTGTTACGTTGTTCTTCATTATTAAATGTTACTTTTGCCCATCCGCTTTCACTATTATCTGGACGCCCAACATACACACGTTTTGGATTAGATCCTCCACCATTTTGAAGACATTCCCGAAGAAAATTTTCATCACTTGTCAATGGTAAGTTACTTAATTTGAGTGTCGATTCAACACGTGCTTTTTCATCTTCTTTATTCAACTGTAAACATTTCGTTATTACATCAGCACCATATCGGTTGATAATATCTTCAACACTCACATTGGTTGGAGTTTGAATAATAAGTTCTCGACCCCAACTTTCTTTTTCATTGTCTCCACGAATTCCAAAACCATTTCCTTGATCATTCATGTAGTAAGGCGGAACCTTGTTTACAGCTCGTCGAAATGCCTCTTCCTTTTTGAAAACAAGGTATAGATATTGAGATTGACTGTTACTTTTTTTCTGATCTTTCTCGACTTTTGGAGTATAAAATTTGTGCTCTTTAATTTCATCCCATTCTATATCAAGTATCTTTTTCAGCCAATTTCTTAATTCATCGACTGTTTGTTTTGGTACATTTTGTAGATCAAGCTTTAATGCATTAGTCATTTTATTCACGTGTGTACAGATGAGACCACTCTGAAAATTGGCCTTAATTGGTCCGCATTCCAATAGTTCATCAGTTTCCGAAAGTTTTTTCAATGTTTCGTTTTGAATACGTTGAACAATCGGTACGATTATTGATTTATCGACTTCAAAACCCCAAAGAATAAAACGACAGCAAACTCGATCATATTGATAGACCAGCCATTTTGCCCATGATTCTGATTGGTAAGCATTTAATTTTTGACGCATATAATAATTCACTTCAGAGCCGATATTTTCAATGGTCATTAAATTTCGTATTAGTGATTGAGCTGCTGCTATTGTTCTAGGTATTGGATGGAGTTTTTCGATAATATAATTTCCTGATGTCAATTGAGTAATACTCATAGCAACAAAGTGTTGATAAAGTTCGCGATTTGTGTCGGTATGAAGCTTTTGCATGAATACACTGGAGTTAGTTATATTTGCACGAATATCAGTCGATATTAGACGTACACCCTCGGCTGGCAATTGTGGAACAAGTAAGTAGCCACATTGTTCTGGAAAGAACTGAGCCAATTGTTTACCGATGATATCTGTCGAATTTATTGGCATTTCACTGCCAGGTCGTAGCCAGCCAGCCTTTTTAATCTGCTTCATGATTGTTACACATGAGCTATCAATATTTTGTAGAATTTTATTATTCAAACCGTTTTCATTGCTATGTTTCACCCGGCAAGTGCAATATTTTATTTGTCTTTTGCATTCTGAACATTTGCCTTGAGCAGCTTTTGCACCGGCACTTTTCCATGCATTGTAAACTGAATAGAGATGAAGAAGATCACTTTTATAATCATGTGCTTGAAGAGCAACACGTTCTTTTGCTTCTTGCTTAGCTTCCCGTGTCGATCCACCCATGAAGAAAATAGTGCCTGGTGCTGAAAGTATGGCAACAATACTAACGGCAAGTTCCAAAAGACTCTCGTATTCTAAATAAATTTCAACAATAAAAGAACTGAGACGTGGATCAAGTGCAAGCTCGGTGAATAATTCTCCTCTCTTCGTAATCTTTTGATCATCGATACATTTAAGTCTAGTCAAAACATCGACGGATTGGTTGATAACATTGCTCTCCGGTTGATCCATAAATGGAAATGTTTTTGGATCAAGACCAAGTCGAATGAGTTGAAGTAGAACGAGATCAAGGGATGATCTTAAAATTTCGGGCTCAATATTTTGTCGCTGTAATTCAGCATCTTTGTACAAACGTTCACAGTGACCAGGTGCAGTGCGCCCAGCTCGACCTTTTCGTTGATCAGCTGATGAACGTGAGATACGCACAGTTTCGATAACAGTAAGACGACGTTTAACATCATAACGAGCTTCTTTCGCCCAACCAGAATCAATGACTAATCGAACATTTGGTATGGTTAATGATGTTTCAGCGACATTGGTACAGAAGACAACCATGCGCTTGTCTTTTTGATTAAATTTAATGACCTTTTCTTGATCTTCCGGTGATTGTGAACCATAAAGTGAAAGAGCAGTACAATCATCAGGGAGTTTAGATTTAAATATTCTCAAAGCTCGTTCAATTTCACCTTGACCAGGAAGAAAAACGAGTGTATGTCCTTCATGTTTAGGATATAGTTCAATGACAGAAGGAACAATATGCAATTCAATCAGTTTTTGATCCGCACAGTTATCTGGTTTTGGCTTTTCAGTACATGTAACAGGAAAAACTCGTCCTTTTACTACGAGAGGTTCACTTTGTGGTAGATCGAAAAACTGAAGAAAACGAGTAGGATCGATTGTAGCTGAAGCAATCACGACATAAAAGTCATCGGGACGTTGTCGTAGTAAAAGTTTCGATATACCAATAACAATATCTGTATTCAAAGAGCGTTCATGCGCTTCGTCGATCACCAAGACATGTATATGCTTCAAATTAGGGTCTCGTTGACTTTCACGAATAAGTGCAGCATCTGTCATGAACATAATATGAGTTCCGGCTACTCGATTAGCATTGCCTACTTGATATCCAACCGATTCACCAACTGATTGTCCATCGAATTCTTCTGCAACACGATTAGCTAACGAACGAGCAGCAACAACACGTGGCTGAGTACAAACGACAAGTGAACCAAAATATTCAGCAGCATATTGAGGTAGTTGAGTACTCTTGCCACTTCCCGTTTCAGCAGTTACAATCAAAATACGTTCACGTTCAAGACGTTGACAAAACTCAGATCGATAAGAAAGAATAGGTAATTGAGCTTTTTCCCAATCTTTCATTCTTTGTTCAAGAGTTTTCAAGCGCTTTGATTTATTATTCTTGTTCTTATTATTGGCGGTAGTAGACGTTGCTGCTTTTTGTTGAAGCTTGGCATTGCGTTCAGGTGAATGAATTTTAGAACACTTTTCGTCTTGACATTCATCTCCTGTTTCACACGGATTCCAATCTGGTCCATGCAGACGGGTACAATAAAAATTTGAACAATCATCTGGCTGATCGCACAAGGATGATCTTTCGGGTGGATGGTTGAGTTTGCATAAACTATCGCGACAATCAGCTCCGATGGAACAAAGCATTTTCGCACGTTCTGGTGGATGTAAACATAAACATGCCAGATTCGTACATTTTTCTCTATCAGTGCAAGGTCGAGCTCGAGAACGTGGATGCAGTTTTGAGCAATTCCATTTTCGACACTTTGCACGCAAAGAACATTCTTCGGTACGTGTATTCGGATGTAAGAATTTACAGTTACTACTTTTGCAATGACCACCATCATTACATTTCTTTTTTCGCTGGAATGGATGGTTAGCAATGCATTCATAATTGTCACATTTTACTCCGTCACTACAAGGATTCCATCCATCTGGATGATCAAATGGACAATCTATTTTGAAGCATTTAATGCCGTTCATACATGGTTTTGCTTTTATAATCATTGATTTTGTTGAACTCATTGACGAACAAGAATCACTCCTACGACTACTTTGATAATGAATACTTGGGTCTTGTTCGCTATCGCTTGAATCAGATGAGAGATCTGGAAGGGTCTCTTTTTTTGCGTGAGCAAGAAGACATTTTACGATTGAACACGAGTCGAAATTGTCGCACCGTTGGTGGCGATACTTGCATTCATTACTTTTTGCTCTACATCCTCCTATTTTCGCAAATCGGCATAGCGGACGCTTGTCTTCGATATTTTGCTTTCTCATTGTATTTCTTGGTGTAGATATGCCTAAAATAATTATTTCGCAATAAATTTTACTACTTTAATTGCATTGGCCCATTTTAAAGGATTTTTTTTCCATAAAACAGCACTTATTAAAATTGTTATAGTACATTTCAATAGTGAGGTTTCAATTGAAATGCTTCTTTTAGTAGTAGATTTCTTTGGTATAGACTTATGCTCAAAATAACGGGTATCATATGGGATTTAGAAAGGTTCACATTTTTACAATCAAATCGAAACCCTTTGAAGTTTTGTACGCAGAAAGTTATCTACAGACCTTTTCTTAATTCTTGACAAGGAATATCAGAGTACAACTTTTATTACTACGTTCAAGATACTACTATTCCGTTTTTGAATTTCTGCTCGAACATGTTTTTAATCTACCTATATTTCGGTCTGACTATTCAATACGTATCTACCATCACATCTATCTATTTCAAACCATTTAGGTTTATAACTAACTTATCACATCAATCTGTACAGAATTTCATACATGACCCTTCTAACCGTCATACTTATCACTAAAACCTTATTTCTATATTGAGCCCCTTATATCTATCCGTAGCACTTTAGTCTTTTACCTAACAATATAGTTCTCATGTGTGAAGCATGAAATCTGAAAGTATTAATTTAATCTCCAGCATTGACTATAGCGTTAGCAAAAATCAAGAAAGGGAGAAATAAAATCAGATCAGTCAATTGTCTGGTTGGTGAGCGTATGTTCTTCTTATAAAAGATACTCAGAAAACAAATGATTTAGTACCAAATCTCTTGACTGCAATACCTCTAGAAGATATACTACGAAAGTTCATAAGTTCGGTAATGGACCGTTTTTGTTTTCAATGTATAAAATAGTTTTATCTCGTTTAATGGAAACCGATTTATAGTTAATTTTCTGGAACTATAACCAATTTTGATAAAATAGAGTCGATATGCTTCATGTTATACATGAGTCTTTGACTTATTTGAGCTACTGTAGTTCAATTTATGGTCAAGTTCGGAAATTTCTTCAGTATTTCTTAGAACAGTTGCGAACTGCACTTCACATAAACTGAGTACATATTTTTTTATATCAAAAATATTTCTTTCTGGCGTGAAGACTTTGTTTGTATCTGACTATTTACCTGATTTTTGTGTTTGTCGACACATTTGCTGTTGTTTCTCGTTATCAGGAGTTCTATTCGGGTTTCGATGAGAAAGATACGGCTTTGGTTCTGTTGTAGAATCAGGTACCTCACCAGTGATATTAGGCCTACGAAGTACACGTGTAGTAGTTGGATTATATTCATCTCGTCGATCTTGATTTCCTTTATTTGATGACTGTGCTATGGGAGNATTTAAATATATTGAAAGAGCCTGGACCGAGAAATCTTGGACAAAAGATCAAAAAGTCATAAACCGAGAAAAAACGAAAAACATTTTTTAATTTTTCAAAAAACAGCTGGTTTTTCGAATAGGGGTTGACGAAAATCTTCGAAAATTTTGGACAAAAAGGAGGTATCGACGAAAACTTTTTATCAGCTATGAAAGAGCAGATCACGGGCTATCTTCCCATGTATTTATCTCCATTTCGACTTTTTTGATGAAAATTGACTTTTTTTGAGTGGGAGGGGGGCCTGAAGAAACATGAAACAGGATTTTATTTGAGATAGAATGACGTTGACAATCTGAAGTCAAAAAAATATGCAGCAACTCAACAAGCAACTCAATGGAATAAGATTCTAGCAGATATTTAGCTCATAACCAAGGTTAACTTTTTTTTAAAAAGGAAGAGGAAAACTTATACTCTGTCTAAGCCAAGCTAAATAAAACCAATATCGGTTGTCCAGAAAGTCATTAGTCAAAGAAAAATTTAAATATCTTAACCATACTTTGACCAAATGAGCTGTTTTTTTTACAGCTGATAGAGGACTATTCCTAGCCCATAATCATAAGGATACGTTGACCGATGTTTTTCCGAAGTGTCACTTTCGAAATTAAGAAAAAGAAATGACCCCCTTACAGTTTTCGAAAAACACTACTTACTTGTACGACAAGCTTAAGTTGTAAGATATCTTATTTGATCTGACGCGAATTTAACCGAGAATATGCCTCTATACTTTAAAAATAATCACTCTACTTTGGCTGAACTATGCTATACTGAGTTAAATTTATTCTTAGCAGTAACTTTTAAAACACACCTATAAGTGAAATTTTTTCAGAATTCGCATAAGATGATATTTCTTTATTGGAGATAAAAGTGATATTTTGAAACATTATCTATCAACATTATTCTTATGAATGTGATTTAGGAATAGTTCTTTATCAGCAGTAAAAAAAATCAGCTCATTTGGTCAATGCATGATTGATGTATTCAAATTTTTCTTTGACTAATAACTTTCTGCACACTCTATATGATTTTAACATTATTCGAAAACAAGTAGATATTTTAAGCTGGAGAATTTTATTGAAGAACGATCGGCATATATCACATGATTAGAGGAGGTCATGCAGAAATATCACATTTGATCACAAGAGAGGAAGATGTTTAAAAAACTGATCACTTGACGTTCGAATAGCCTTCTTTTTTTATAATCCTTTAGAAACAATATGATGACATAAAACTCTGATGAATATCGAGCTCATTGAATTCAACCATCTTTTAAAAAAACTATTGATGATTAGTTGATATACCATTTAGTATGAACGTCAAGAAATATTATTCTACAGCATTCTAAGCACTTACGAAAAACTCTCTATATAGAATTTATACATTCTTAGGTAATTCACACACTTTACAAATTCTTTTTATTTTCTAATTTTTTTATAAAATCATATAACAAGATGTTCGAAGTAAAGATACATTTATATTGTTAAGAAAATCTTTATAAACTTCATCATATAATTTATAAACACCTTTATATCCTTGTGTACTTTTTCCATTTGACATAAATGGTTTTCTTATAGTAAAATGTACAACTTTAAAATCTGGTTTCAATGTTTCCCATAAATATTGTTTACTAGAATAAACAGCCATATTCATATTATAAACTGTTGGTAATTGTAAATAGCGAAGACGAAAAAATTGATTAAGAAATTCTTGTTCAGCCATGACAGTACGATAATTTCCTGGTATTGTATATGTACGTATAAGTTCATTAAAAACAAGTTGTGATGGATGTAGAACAAGTACACCAGCATTAAATTTATAGATATATGTTCCAAACCAATTATCTGTTGCAGCAGCAAATTCAAAACCAGTTCGCCATGGTTCCATAACAAGTTCATGTAAATGAGAAAGATCATTTAAAACAACTGTATCACAATCAAGATAAATAATTGAATCAAATTGTGTCATATTCCAAAGAATTAATTTTGTAAACTAATATGAAACAATATACAGTGGCGAACAATAGTTTAGAACACTTTCTCGATTGTAATGGCTAGAAAGAATTCGGAAAAAACATTTATTTAGAAGAATTTTCTATCGGGATCTATGTACCTCAAAGTGTGCTAATGAAACAAGACCTAAAAAACTGATTTTGGTGGATCTTGGTTTTCCAGATATTCTCATTCAAGCAGTTTTATTGAAGCTTTAAGTCTACAAATCCCGATAGAGTATCCTTTCAGCTACTCAAATGTTTTCTCAGATTCTTTTCAGCTATTACCATCGAGAAGAAAACTCAAAAATACAACTACTCCGATTATTGTGTACATTTTCCAATTTGTTCTTTTATTTAGTTATACAGACTGATTACTCTGATGTTTGTTAGGTTGACATATATTACTATGAACATCATTGTTTTTTTGTAATGTAGTTTTCAAAAATGTTCTGGATTACCGATGTAAAAGCAGTATTTTTCATGGCAACTTGGCTCATTTTTGACACATTTTCGTCGTGGGTAAAATGAAAAATGGATTTTCTAAAGAAGCGCGTCACTGTCATTTTTAAATAATTTACCATCGATAAGCAATAGAAACCTCACCTCTTTCTGTCTGAATGAGATTTTAACAAGAGGAATGGAAGATTTTGAATCGAAGTTAGAACTAATGATTTCATATAATAAAAGAAAAATGAAGACTAACGATTCTAACACGATTTTAAAAATGAAAGACCTGTTTTCAATTTGAAAAACAGAACCATCTTTGCAAGCGTCTAATCATATATAATCTTCCAAAATGACTTATTGTTCAAAAAAACAATGTCTTATGATAAGTAGGCTTCCAACTTTATAAAGATAAAATAATATAAGTACAAGAGAGCGCAAAAACAAAAGTCAAATTCATAATTAATTTACTTGAAATGATATCAGTACCATAAATAACACCTGTATAAGGTATTCTCATGTTTGACTTAGCATTTAACTCTATCGAACTAGTGTCGAGGAATAAATGGTCAATCCTACTTAGTCTCCTGCAATACATATTATAAGAAATTATTACTAGATTTTTATAATGAAGAAAATATCAATTTAAAAAGATTAAAATCTTGTATGAAATTGATCATGCTTAATTAAAATTCTTTTTTTTTGTTCAAAATCAAACTCATGAATAATTGGTAATCTTCATATATAGGCAATCATTTTATTTGATCTTAACTAATACAAATAATTATATTGATCAAGTAATCATTGATATTGTGTTATTAAAAACTGTCCCAATGACTTATTTTATGGAATAGTTTCTTAGTTTTTCTCATTTTTAGTTGATCAATAAACATCTATAGAATCTTAAAATACTTGTTGATGTCTTTTTGTAGAATTTCTCAGTGATCGAATTAATATTAATCGCTCTAGTTTATTTACTTTTTTACTTTTATCAGATGTCAGTTTAATATTCATGAGAAGATTTTGACCGTTAATTCTAAATTATCTTTTCTAAATTCTTACTTGATCAACATATTTTTTATTTGTACCAGGTACAGATGGAATTCGTTTAACATTCATTAATTGCCATCCCATTATTCGTAAAGCACAAAGTGTTGTTTCATTGTATAATCTATCTTGAAAATAAAGCATATACATTGGATGATTTGGATGATATTTTCGTATTGTATAACCAAGAATAAGAGCACCAAGTAAATAATTATCAGTATATAAAGCAGAAAAAAATGCATTTTTCGAAAAATTTTTATTGATTATAATTTTTTGATTTGTTATTAATAAACCATTTTTAACAGCACATGATGATGTATCATGACAAGCATATGAAGAACTTAATAATTTAGATGAAAAATCCGGTTGAACATAGACATAATCATAGAAATTTATAATAAAAAATGAATAAATAATAACAAGAAAAGTATATAAAAGAATACGTATCCATGATGAACGAAGTTTTGTTGTGAAATAAAAACGTTTAAAATTTCGCTGAATTTTTAAACAACGTGATATTGTTTCATCATCATTTGCTGATAATAAATAATGATCATTAGAATGATCAAGAAATGCTTGTTTTTCATTATATTTATTATTTATCATTGAAAGAAGATCTAAACAAAAATAAAACATTTCGACATACGGATTGCGTATATTCTTTATCCATGTCTAAACCAGCAAACATAATTAAAATTGACTAATTCAATTAAAGAGCGCTTAAATTTATCTATGTGTTTTTAGTGAATAGATTTTTCATTGGAGTAGTTATAAATATAATCATATTTATTATTGACATAGAAATATGAATAAAAATTCATTTTATAGAATTATTTTTGATTAAATTCTCATGCCAAGTAAGACCTTCTCTCTTTTCAATTGTAATTTAAACTCTTTGTACAAAGCGTATAAGTTTTCAATGGAAAAGAGAACAAAAAAAAAAACCTGTTTAACTTTTTCAATTTTTTTCAGCGTAGAAACGCATTAAAATCAGCACTTATATATTTGATGTTATATACTTATCCATTTCTATTTGCATTAGATCATCTATATACAACAGACAACAACATCTCATCTATCAACGCTCGTTATTTGTTGTTTGTTGACATATCTTTCAGTACCATAAGATCAAACGAAAAGTAATATCATGCTTTAACATTTTGAGTTTAAAATAAAAGGCTTATCTTGTCAATTAAGAATATGATAATGATCAGAATACAATATATCAAACGTTTGTTTACATCGAATATAGTTTGAAAGAAAAAAAACCTACAGTATAATGTCAATAAAATAAATTTTTTATTCATTGTGATGAAGAATAACAAAGTTAATGCGTCAGTGAACCATGTCTAAATAGTGCAGTGAATGAAGAAAAATGTATTTTGAATTGTAAAAAATAACAGTACTATGCTTGGTATATATATATATTACAAATGGTTGTGTTAGTAAAGGAGAAATTATTTTTCATATTTCTGTTTTTCTATGAACTTTTATTGGCAAAATGAAAACAAAAAGAAATGAAATTTTTCTCTTAAATGAGAAAAATTGATCCCTTTGTGGCCAAACGACTTAACGTGTTATTTGGATTTGAAGGATAGCTAGGCGTGGAGAACAGTGGTGGCTGTGCAGAATTGGAAATATATGCCTGTAATGGAGTATTGTGTTGCGTATTGGCTGAGAATGATGATGATGATGGTGGTGGTGGTAGTGGTTGAGATTGTTGTTGTTTATTAACAGTAAATAAAGAAGCTAAGGATGATGAAGGCTGATTAGCATGGCTGATATTTGTTGATGGTACTTGTTGCGAAGGTTCAATGACAGATATCACATTCGGACTAGTTTCAAGTAAATGAAGAGCATGTTGAATGCTGTTTAGATCTGCTTCAGTAAGTACAGCTGCCGATGAAGAAGTCAATGATGAATAATAATCAAATGAAGATGGTGTATCATTGCTCAAGTTCATTAATGGAGCAGATGTCATATTTTTCGGATACGAAGGAGACACGGAGTTCGTGATTTGTGGAACTGTTGCAGTATTAGCTGTTTTTGAGGATAGTACATTGGTATGTGTCGTTGGAGGTAGAACTGGATACTGTGACATTGTTGATGAAGGAGGGATATTAGCTGTCTTATTTAGGATACTAGGCGAAGATGGTTCTGGTCGATAATGTACTATGCCTTGATTGTCGATTGTGAATGGCATATCTTCGTCATTATTAATATGTTGACTAAATATTTCATTATGTTTCATATTGACGGTTGACATTGGAGTAGATAATGATTCATAAGGAGGATAGATACGTTTGTAAAATGATGGGACCGACATGATTGGAAACTCACATGGTAATGGTATGTCCAATGTATTAACATTGTTGTTTTGATCGAATGCATTTTTATCTTTCAAATAGGGATTCTGAAATTGCCAATTGTCCTGTTTGGGTATTGTTGAAATTTGAGGTTTTTGAATTCCAGTCGATGGTGTTGATTTTTCAGAAGGTTTAGGACCCCAATATGGATTAACCCATGTACTTTTTGTTGAATTATTTAATAGTACTGATTGTTGATTTCCAATTCTGTTATTGTTTTGTGTGAATTGAGAATTAGTTTGATTTGGTTGTGGTCCCCAATATGGATTGACCCATGGTTGAATGTTATTGNAATTTGTTTTAAATGATCACAAATATATGTTTCTAATTTACGATTTGTTCGTGCATATTTTATACTTGCTTTATTAATTATTCTAACCAATGATTTTTCAGGATCACTTATATTAGAAAAATGACTACGAACATATATCCAAAAATAATCATGTAATGGTAAATTATCATAACAAAATAAATAAAGAAATTCACGTAATGCAGATGCACCTAGATTTATTTCGATCGATCTTAATGCACGGGCTATTCGACAACCAACAAAAGCACCAGTTTGAATATCACGACCAGATGACATATAAATATCAGAACAAAGATATAAATATACATAAAATGGATTAATTAGATGTTTATGTGATGGTTGTTGACGACCAATAAATGTTGCATAATGTGTAAATGAAGTCACACAATTTGATTGAAAATCTTCATAAAAATCTCGAAAATCATCAGTTAATTGGCCCAAAAATGGCATTATCCATAAACGTTCACTTTCTTCAGAAGTAGATTGAACAGTAGCCATATAGATCGTACATGTATATGAGAAGTGAGATTTGAGCATAGTACCTACAAAGAATAACTTCAAATATTATTTATTAATCAATAACTTTAGATTTTTCGAAGTGATCATTGTTTTCTCTACTTTTGACTGTTCGATTGAATAATATTTATCGTATTGATGAATTCTATTAATAATTTTCAATTTTCATAGATTAAAAATTTTGTATCTGTATCTTAGTAACTTGTCAAAAAACAACTGTTATATATCAATTGTTAGTTATGACTGTCAAAAAGCTTCATATTTGTCATCATTATTATAGACATGGATAACAAGAAAATTTATTATTGATTTAATTGTATATAGTCTATATTAAACACTAACTATTAAATTAAGATACTTGATGAATGATTTCCTTTCTTTCTAATGGCAGATATAGGTTCTCGATAGGGATAAAAATGACAAAAACTATTTTTCTTGTGAATAATATTCGAAGAATTATTAATTCGATTATGCTGGAAACATAAAGAAAAAGTTTTAATGCCTTATTAGAAACAAAATGTTACCTAAGTAAAGTTCTTCATCAGTATAAAAATTTTCCATTGTTTTTTTATCCATTCGTTGTGATCTTAATAAAAGAGCCAAGTCTTTAAAAACTGCACGCGTTACATTAATACTTTTTGTTAATGTAATAAGACTATCAAATGTTTCTAATAATAATGGTGTCAATGGTGTTTTTGGTATTTCTTTTCGATTAAATTCTCCTCCACTTAATAATTCTTCTATAATCAAAAGCCATTTATCTAGTATTTCAATTGGTGTTAATAATCTGCTATTTTCATTTGCCTCTATTTTCAAGACAGCTACTTGTTGTGAAGAAATTTCATCTAAATTATGAATTTCATCTAGTGTACAATCGACAATAGCATATGCAACTCCAAAATAAAAACCCATTTGAAGTGCATGAAACAATTGTTCATTCATAACAACTGAATCTAATATTTGATTATTACAAACAATTGTTTCAGCAAAATTAAATAAACGTGCAATACCAACACCAAATGTTGTACGTAATAAACGAGCGAATGCTCCAACTTCTGTAAGTATAATAGGAAATGTTCGTAAAGCATCACGCCATTTTTCTAATAACCATGTCCATTGATCAATATTTAATTTTGGTGAAAAAAGATCATCATTATTTAGTTTAATAATTGATGAATTTTCTTTTGTTGAAAAAAGTTTTCCAATAACAGTATTTATAATTGATAGAATTTCTTCATTATTATCAGAGGTTGTTTGTATCATTGTAATAAGTTGTGAAATAGATTTAAAAAATAAATGAATAAGATATATGAATTGTTTATTTGAACGTGCGGTTGTTGGTAATGCATTTTCTCCAAATATTTTACCAAAACATAATAACATAAAATCATCACCCATATTATGTAAATCACTTTCATATGCTTGTTTTGTTTTATGAAACATGGAAATTTTAGTTAGAAAATTTGTTGTACCCTCAAAATCTTCCTTTGTTGGTGTTGTTTTCATTTGTTTAAGACCTTAAAGAAAAAATATGTATTAGATTGATTTAAATTTCTTATCTTTATAGTTACCAAGCTTAATCATTTCTTGAATTAATTCAAGATCAGGTTTTAAACGTGCACGATATTTTTCTAACATTTGTGCTAAACATTCTTTTCCTTTATTTTTTGCTTGTTCATATGCATGATTTAAATCAAATGGGTGTTCACGAAGTTGTGCAATACAATTTGAACTAGCTGTATCAGGTTTTGGTGTTAATGTTTCAATAATATGAATATAATATTTTTGTAAAAGTTCATTTTCTGTAAATTCTTNTCAAGATCAGGTTTTAAACGTGCACGATATTTTTCTAACATTTGTGCTAAACATTCTTTTCCTTTATTTTTTGCTTGTTCATATGCATGATTTAAATCAAATGGTTGTTCACGAAGTTGTGTAATACAATTTGAACTAGCTGTATCAGGTTTTGGTGTTAATGTTTCAATAATATGAATATAATATTTTTGTAAAAGTTCATTTTCTGTAAATTCTTCATTGTTAATATTTGGAAGTATTTGTTTTGCACGTTCTAATTGTAATGAACGCCATTGATTATTAGGTTTTCTTATTTTTTGAAATAGAACATTTAAGTCAACTGATTCACACGATGTAGATTGAATAAGTCGACGTAATTGTAAAACATATTTATCAACATTAATAAATAATTGATTTATAGATTCATGTACAAAATAATTTGGTAAAGAATAGAGATTTGATATATTTCGTGATTTATTTAGAAGACGTTTTTTTATATGTGATGAATGTGTTAACTGCCAAATACGAGGTTTATTAGCATAAACTTCGAGTTTAGAAAAAATATATTGTCGAATAAGTTGACGTCGTTGAATTTCTTCTTCAGTCAAGTTTTTATATAGTTGGTTTGTTTCAGCGCCACTTAATATATTTACGTGTGCATTTGAAAAATCCTCAGCCGACTTTGTATGATCACGTATATGATGATTATATAAATGTGAGCGTATTGTTTTTTGATCTTTGGAAAAATTATGAGAACTATTTACTAAATAAGTGAAATAATATCATAACCTACTATTTCGGTGTTTTGAATAAGAATGGGATTGCTCATGAGATAACATTTGAAGAAATTAAGACTTTTATAATATTTATATTTTTTTTTCTAACACGAATTAATTTGGGCTATTTATACGTGCAAGTTACTCAAGCGTACAAAAAAGTTAAAAATAAAAATCAAACATCAATGTGATTAAACAAAGCTAGAAAATGCACGTTTGATATTGCACTCTTATCAAGTTTTTTTCTTATACACATTCATATCACATATTGCTCGTAAGTCACATCATAGCCATTGATGAGCTTCCTTAGACATCAATATGATTTCTGTTTCTATTCCTATTATCTGATAATGTTTTCTTTTGTTATATGAATGAGCCATACAAATAAACAAACAGCTGAATATATCAATCCCTTATTGTTATGAAAATTAATGACGCATTTTCACATCTACAATAGGTATGAGCTGTCAGGCATAACATCAAAAAAAATGTTTTTTAGTCATTTAAGTAACGACGAAAAATATTAATCTGATATATTCAACATGTGATAAAATGAATAATCTTCATCTATACAAGTTTCTAAATCATATATGTGACTGTATTCAAAAAGCAAAAGGAAACATAATATTGATAAAATTCCTTTTTTTTTATCATTTCTGAAGATTCCTGAATCGTGATAATCTTTCGTGTCTTTCTAATAGAACAGAAAATTTTTAGTATGGTTTTTTTCACTTGCTAGTATTGATTAAATTGACATAGAAATATCGAATACTGCTTATTGTAGATTTTCATAAATTTATTTGTATGTCCTGCTATTTATATCATATATTTTGCAACGACATAAGAGATGTCAGAATAAATATGTACAATGTTAATTATGTTTATGTCAGACGCACAATTAGTCAATGTGCGAAACTAATACAGGATATTTAGTTATATGAACTTTTCTGTTTACCGACAGATATTAAGAGAGATAAATCTTATGGAAATAAAACCCGTGAAAAGAGCTCTAGTAGTATAGTAGGAGGCTTAAGATCTCTACTGTAGTGAGTTAGAGGTAGATATGACAAATCGATGGCTTAATCTGACTGCTAAACAACCAGAAAATGAACAATCATTCATGTCGCTCTACTGGTTTAGAACACTTCTAGTACCAGTAACGAAAAACTCGTACCAGTTACATCACTTACATTGTACAGATACAAATCGTATGTCACAAAAAAGTAGATATGAAAACAATTCAATGTCGTCATTCTGTTGTTTTTTTCTTTGTTTGACGCTCTCGATTGATAAACTCTGGCAATGTCCTACTCACATTCAAGAGAATATTATACACAAGAACACTGTTTCAACACTAGATTTTCTTTATCAATTGTAGCTATATTAGCTATTATTCAAATATTAACTACACTTAGTGTTGTGAGTCTTGATATTGGACATATTCTATACAATATTCGTTTAACAAATCAATATTTTGTGTACTTCAGAAATACGTAAAAACATATCTTAAATAAATAATGTATGTTTCTCATGGAGTTGTCTATTCGATGACTATTCAATTAGTTGTGGAAATCATCGTTTAGCATTAATTAAAGTTAAATTAACTTCTGATGTTATTATGACCATTACATGCTTTATGTATATTTTATTTTATATGATGTTGTTGCTTTATGACTATCAATAGCTGTCCGACATCAAATTCATCAAACAGACTTCGATTTGTCATCAAACAGTACCACCGACAATGTAAGTATCAGTTCAAATACTACCTACTGTTACCAGTGTGAATTCTTTGCTACAAAATCAAGAACGGACAATATCTCCAAAAATTCCAAATAGTCGATTTTTTTTGTATTTCTGTTTTGTTCATCGATAACATCTGTAAATCGATTTATCTTTCTGTCATTTCTAATGATTTAAAAAAGAAAACTGCTTTACAATCAGCTAAAAAAGATTAAAGATGCAAGTTGATACATTAATAAGCGGTAGTAGCTATCATCAGTAATTGATATAGGGTAACAATGACGATTTATACTGACTGATTTTCGTATGAATGGCAATGATTGACATAGTTTCTCAATGGATTGGCTTACATGTATATCTCTATTCTCAGTACAGATGAAGCTAAAATTAAAGAGATAATATTAATTTATGATATAAATTAAAAGTTGCATTTGTATTGATTTATAAACTGAGTAACAAATAAAAAATATTCCTTAAGAGCAAACTCTTTGAACGTGTGAAGAACTGTAAGTTTTATAGTCTCTTAAGAAAGTATTTTACATTAGAAAAGTAGTTCATCTGCGAAGATGATTTCAAGCAGCAAAATTGCAGCTAGTATTGAAGTTATTATGACCCTGCATTTAACTGTCTCTTGAGAACTGATCGAAAGCGAGTATGTTTCAAGTAGTAGACATCACAGAGTATCGAAAATTAGCGAGTGTCACTAATTTTCTACCAGATAAGTAAACCATATACTATAAATTGAGAATATGGTTACATTCATTAGTTATTATCCTGTTATATAGTATAGTATATTTATTATTTGATATAGCATGTCATCCTTTCCTTTCTATGAATGTGCAAACATGCGCGCTTAGACTCTTGTTTAGATATAGAACTTTTATGTACCACATGAAAATGCAATTTTTTATGCTTGGAAATGGATTTTATTGTCCAGATGTAGTTATACATCACTTAGAGAATCATCTTTAGCAAATTACCTGTGAAATTCTTGCCGAGTTTTTCGAAAAACGTTTTTGCTAGGAAATATATTATGCTGCGCATCATTCAACATGGTATCATGTATTGATTGCAAACATCGCTTCGGTTTTTCATCAAGGTGTTATTTTAACCACATAAAGAGAGATTCCGAGTCGAAAACCAGTGCTTTTTGAAAACATGTAACTTAGCTCACGTTTAATAATGTTATTCGATGCGATAAATAATGATAGATGCCACATGGAAGAATATTTGCTGAAAGTTTAAGCTCAATTCGGCTGGAGCTGTTTAAACTGTTTACAAGATCGAGATAGCTAATTTTTTTACTTGCTTTTTTAAATACATAGTTCAATGGTGCTTGGTGAGCTGATTCCTGAGCAGAAACCAATTCTTTTTAGGAAATCTGTAGCTCTGTCGCTATTCACTCATGCACAGTGGGTCTATGGTCAACGATAAATCAAATACAGAAGATTAATTGATGAAAGTTTTAGCTTGATAGGATTAGAACTCTTTGTCGCATTCACAAAATATAGTACGATCAGTTTTGAGATCTATCTGTATTCATACAATTTGAAGCTCATGAGTCAATCATTGATTATCGATAGATTTTCACTTTAATATATTTCCATAACTTGATA